CACGTAAGATACTCTGAAGTTCCCAGGATTATATCCCAGCAAGAGTAGAGATCGGCATAGCAGCAGTTCTCTTCTGCTATGGTGGGAGATCACTAATCATTGATGCAGAGCATAGGAAACCAATAGGCTGGTATTTTTTGTCAAAAGCACAATGTCTTCTCTGCCACGAGTAAAACATCTCATCTTGCAAAATGCCTTGCAAGCACTGCAGCTCAGAAATAGCATTCTCTTCTCCACAAAAACAGTCCAAGATTCAAAAAGTAGCTCTGCCAAATCGATTACACAAACCAAAAGAGGCGACACAGGAATAACCTGTTCATTGGCAAAGCTGGGCACCGATCCATCGAAGGCTTCTAACGCTTGGATTAAGGTTTTCATTTTCTATCGAGAGTAACTGACAAGTAGCGAAGAGTCTGAAGCGGGCTAGAATTTCCTCCAGTACTTTCCCTTCCTAAGAAAAAGCCTCTGCAACAAGAGCCATGCTACCAGACTGTCAGATGAAGAGTCTGCACGAAAGTCTGGCGGTCGCTCGGGAAAGGCTCTGGCTCAAAGCCCCCTGGAATGATGAGGACTTGTCTGCTTCTGGCATTCTTTGGAGCATTTTGAGAGGCACTGACAGTTGTCAGCCCATAGTGCTGTCTGGACTCCTCTGATCTGGGGTCACGGTGGCAGTGGGCCGCAGCTCCTGGGCCATGGGGAAGGTGTCCCTGTTAATGACTGGGAAGCTGCAGCTCCGATCTTCATGGCAGAAACTGCGTTATGCTTCTCGTTATGAGGAGATCTGTCTGCTCCTTCCTCTCCCGGCTCCCACCACGCCAGCCCCATCCACATGCTAGATCCTACGAGCAGTTATTTCTCTTAGTGCTGCATCTGTGTCTTCTTAGTCAGAACACTAAACTTCAGTGTGTTGAGTTTACGTACAATAAAGTTCATCAGGAAAGTTGCTTTATAAGCTAAAGCCAGAAACTCTCTGACATTTTGGTCTCCTGCAAGGCTCCTCAGAACACATCAGCTGAAGAGCGAGCCCTGGGTGTAACAAGACAAACTTTGCTGAGGCTTGTGCAGTTCCCCTGGTAGGACAGACTGACCCTGAAAGAGGGATGATACAGATGGAAGGCAGCCATAGACAAACCGGCCTGCACTGCAGCTAATTAACTGATGCTGTCGTGGAGGAAAGTTGCTTGTGGTGACTTAGGTTCTCAGACAAAGGATAAAGGCCACCAGCCTACCCAGAAAGATCTCTCAAGCACGAGCCTCACGCTCTCTCGAGGAGAGACGGCGTTCCCTTCAGCTGCCTGTTTTCACCTGGGTAGCTCAACTACAAATGAAAGCAAACTACTGGAGGGGTGCAGAAAACCTGGAGTTTGTCCAAGTAAATATCGGCGTGTAACAATTGCAAGTGATCTTGTGTTTCTTTCTCTGGGAATGGTTCACAAAGTGTGTTTGCAGGCTTCACCTCACTCACCTCTTAAATGCAGCTGTCTCAGAGGAAATACGGTGGTCATTTAAGGTGCTCAGCAACATCACAAAACAACGGAGGGCAGGAAGAAAGAGAAGAAGAACACCGTATTAAATTAAAACTGCCCAAAGCAAAATGTAGGGGAAAAAAAATTGCTTTAAGAGCCATAAAATCAGAAAGGAAAGAGGCCTTGCTTTCGGTCTCTCTTCTGAAGGATGGCACATCAAGCAGCAAAGTGCCCAGTAGCACTATGCCAGGCTGCTGATTCTGTACCACTGAAGAAGGAAGAAGGCCACCTACTGAAGAATATGCGTAATTCAAGCTGAGAAATGAACTGCTTTCATTGTGAACTATAGCGTTGCCATAGCCGTGTCTCCCCAGGAATGCACCGTAGCCAAAATAATAGTTTGCACTTCACCTCCAAAGAATTTCACACAGGCCAGCCTCTAGAACCAAACAAATGCATTATTTAGTGACTTTACCATTTTATTGCTGACTATTTCATTGGGTTTGCTTTCACAACCACTTCTGCTTATGCTAAAAAGAAGCATCACAGAGCGCCATTTTTACTGGTGTTAACAGAGAAAAGCATGGCTGGCAAAATGAAATACCTAGTTGTCCTTGGATTTTAGCAACTTGTGATTTCTTCGGCCTCCGTATTAAAAGCTGCATGTTGCCATCTAGCTCACGTTCAAAAATATGGTCACTATGCATCTGAATCTTCTGTATTCATTTCTTAGCAGGACAATGCAGCTTCCCCGAGTGTGATTTGCAATATCCAAATCACAGCGTAGAGATTTAATGACTTCCCTTTAACGACTAAATACTATTAAGCACTTGCAAAAGTATCTCGTTCTGTTAAGTCTTCGTGGGCAGCAGCTTCTACTGCTCTTACACATAATCTGTACCTCATAGCCTGCGCATCCTCCGATATGCTTTCATGGGTATCTGCAGCAAGACAGAACGCTTCAGAGGAAAAAGATTACACAGCAGCATCACTGTGAGGAGCTCGTATGTATTTGCTCTGCAGTTAAGGCCGAGACTGACATTCCATCGTAAGCCCAATAAACATAGATCCTCCAAGGGACGGGAGTCAAAACCCAAAACCTATTTAAGTGTTAAATGCTCTCCCAGTGTTTTTTTTCCTCGCGACTTAATCTAAAAAGCAGTTCTAAAACCTTCTGTGAAGCTGAATTATAGGGGTTTAGTTTAGGGCAGCTCTGGGAGTTGATGCCACCAAATGACTGAGAATTGTGTGTTGTTAGCAGAGGAAAGCTGGTTCGCTTCCTTTTCCTTTGAGGAATGCTAAGGCTTAATGATTACAGCTGAAAATACACCGATTTTTTTCAGACTTTTGTTTCTAAGGGCACAAGCAGCATCTTACGGGCTGGGCTATTAAGCGTTGCCTTGGGGAAGGAGGGTCAGTGTTTCTGACTTTCCTGGGCCTTACTTCACATGCAGAAGTCTACAGCAAGTTAAAGTAACTTCAGAATATAACAAATCCAGCCGGCGTGTACCTGCAGTGTCTGAGGAAAAAAGTCTTCACTTAAAAGCAGGTTGTGGGTTGTTTGTAGGTTTGCAGGGGTCCTGAATAAGCATTTATTAGACACCATTAAGCACTCGTGTTTGTACAGATAGTGCAATATTTATAATTTATCACGGACGAGAGGTTCCACTCTCTGCAAGACAAAGATTCCTGAGCTTTTAGTAACTCTTGTTTAGATCAACGCTAGGTACATTTCAGAGTCCTTAACTCTCGTACCTCCATGAAAAGAAACGTGAGCTTTTTCAGTCAAATTTTATCTTTATCAACACAAAATGACAGAAAGCCCTTCTCTCAATCACGTAGGAATTTCACTAATTCCAGCCTTCCTAGCAATCACACGATGAACCACGAAAAGATGCAGGTTAAATTTCTCATTAGACAAACATACTGCATGTAATCTTCATGAAGATCCCGCACGTCACCGATTACGCAAGCATCATTAAGCACTGAGTGAATACATCCGCAGTTCCAGCTCTCCTTTGCCAGTATCGTACAATTAGAGCGTGTGTACAGAAAGAGAAACAACGATCTGACGCTGTAGCACAGCGTGTGGATGGAGATGTGCACATACAAGATGAGTCCGGAGCCCTTCTGCACGTTGTCACTGCATCGTCGGGGCAGACTGCTGGCTGCCAAAGACAAAACGTGAGGATTGCTTTGTAGCTCCAGTTCAGGATAAAGTTGCTGACTTGTCATCCAGTGGGAGCCCATCCCAGACCTCCCCGGTTCTCCTCAGTGTGGGGCTATCTGCACCAGCTGAAGGAGGATGCCCTACGATCACAGCTCTGGCCTTTTTCATCCCACATTAACACATGAAGGCTCTCAGGCCCCTTCTGTACCTTCTGGATAGCTTGCCCTTTCTGTTTCATTCACCACAGCTTTCGGCAGCTTTGAATCACCCGGTGATTTGTAGGCACCAAGAGGTTTGAGAGGAATCCGTAGGCAACTTCTTCAGGCCTCTCAGTCAGATTCTATGCCTGGCACCTCTTTCCTTTGAGCAGACGTGCCCATTCACAGACAGCAGGTTCTCAAAGCAGGGGACACATGTCAATAATTCCTTTATAAGCTGAGGAGTTGTACCACACAGAACCGTTGGTGAAGCTCCGCTTCCGATTTCCACTGGTCAGCAATTTTCCCAGGTGCATCATTCACCCATTTGGGCGTTTGTCAGATCTCCACTCCCACATTTCCACTGCTGCCTTGTCGCGTTTTTTCTGTCAGGTACCAAGTTTTTACACGTTTAACACACTTTTTTTTTTTTCTCTTTTGCTTTTTTTTTTTTTTTTTGGACAAGGGGAGAGGGAAAGCAGAGCAAAGACAGCACACGGCAGGGGCGTCTGGAAACTGTTAAGGTTGAAGACGTTCTTTGAAAGGGCGTCGCGTGAGATGCAAAGTGATCCGTTTGAATTAGACACTATTATTTAACTTATTAGTGAGTCTCGCAGTGAGGCGAGGAGAAGCACGTAACAAACTTTAATGGAAAGTGCAAAGTCCTTAACTCAGATCTAGAGTCCACGTGTCTAACTGTCAGAGTCCCCGGCCGGCCCTAACGAGCCCCACCTGCGCTAACGAGGCAACGACTCCCAGCTGCCGAGGGGCCGCGGCCTCCCGAGCACAGCTGCGCCTCGTTCCCAGCGCGGGGCGGATCCGCCCCAAAGCCTCTTAAGCTCCGCCGGAGGCCGCTGGGAGCCACGAGAGGGCTGCCGGAGTGCATCGTCTGCGGGAGCGGGCTCCGTTTCTCTTGTCCGGTCCTTAGGCCGCCGGGGCTGCCAAGCTCCGCGAGGGGCTGCTCTTAAAAGGGGACCTTGGGATTCTTTGTAACGTTCTTTGCTGTTGTGTTGTTTTGTTTCAGGTTGCGGCGAGCCGCCTCCCGGTAAAGATCAGCGCGAACCGGTGAATCGTTCTGGTGGCGACGGGACCGCGGAAGCGGCCGGCGCTCGGGTCCGTCCTCTCTGGCCGGGCTCCGTTCGGGGGCCGGCACGGGGCTTCCGCCGGGCTGCCCCGGCTGCTCGAAGCCCGTGTCACATCGGCGCCCGGCTGCCGTCGCGTTTTCGGAGGGAGCTGCCGCTCGGTTCCCCGAGTGCTAACGCGGTCCTGAGGGCTCTCAGTCCCTCTGGGGCTTTTCAGCGGGGACTTCAGTTTCTCCCAGCCTTATCGGTAGGAGCGAGCGGGATGGGGCAGCGTTCCTCCGGCGTTTGTGCTGGGAATGAGAAGCAACGTTTTTCTCCTCTTGCAGGCTGAGCGGAGGTTGAGCAAAACCTCTCGTCATCCCGACCCGGTGAGATGGTGGAAGCGGTGTTTGGGAGTCACTAGGTAAGTTCTCTCTTGTTGGGGCTCGTACAGGGCTGCCGCTCGGACGCCTCTTTGGGATCAGCACGGCGCCGCCGCTGAACTGCTCAAGAAGGGTTTTGCGGGTGCTTCAGCTCCTTCTGCTTCCAGCGGTGGGAGCGAGCCAGATGTGACGATATATTCCTTCCCCCCTCTCACTTATTTGTAGCTTCAGGAGCCTGATCTCGCTCCCGTTATGAAGACGTGGTGGGAGAGCTCGCATGACTGAAACGCTGTTGTGGATGGCTGCGTTCCTTATAGGAGAGACAAACGGGTGAGGTGGTGGGTTTCTCTTCCGGTGAGAGAACTGGAATGTACTGAGCTTCCACGACAAGGTGATGGGACAGCTTGGGTCTAGGTGACAGCTGCAAGTGACCTGATGAGCAAAAATTTCAAAGTAGTCCTGGTGAATTCGGTGAGGGGAAGTGATGCTGGACCAAGGAGGTAGCCTTCTGTGTTGTGACTGGTTAGACGAGAGGAGGGCTGTGGATGGTATGGGGGAATATCTTGCTGTCGGAAATTAACTGAAGTGCAGGAGTCTTGCTGACGGTGACGACGGGCTCATTCAGGCACCGACAGGAGGCGTGAGGTGGAAACATTCACAGACCGGAACGTCAGAAGTAAGACTGCTTGTGCTGCGAGAGTGATAGAATAGGCTGCGGAGTCTCCTTCTCCGTGGGATTGCAGGTTGCCTCCGGATGCTGTTCCGGGTGATGTGTAACCGGGAAACGGCCCCGGACGACATCGTCGCAGGGCGAGTGCCGCAACGGAGCATTTAGCAGCGAGGATCCGCCTGAGCATGGGAGCGGTTTCACCGGCGGTGAGCGACCCGAGAGCTGCCCTCCCCCAGCGTCCTCTGAGAAGCGGTTCACGGAGCTCTCCTGCGTGTCCAGGGCCGGAGCGAGGATCGTGCTGGTGAGGTAAGCGGTGTCCTCTGGTGCCTGATCTGTGCGTGTTGCCTCCGGGCTGGAGTTTCCAGCTGGGATCGGGTGCCGGGGGACACAAGTTTTTGTTTGAGGGTGTTGGGGTGTGTGGTTTCTTTTTTATTTGAGTCTTCAAGGTGTGTGTGGCGGCTCTACTGCTGGAAGAATGGAATTGACAGACTGAAGGGAGAAGCGCAGCCTGCAGGATTCTGTCACCTGTTTCCTGCGGGGAGCTTGGTGAGGTCCACCGTGGCCAAGGTGTGTTTTTACTTTAGGTTGTGTTGCAGCAGGCATCCTGAGAGGAAAGTCCCTGTCCTCGGCTGGCAGGCGTGCTGCACCCATGGAAGGAGCAGAGGAGAGCCCCCAGGTAGGCACTGTTTGTAGTGGTGTGTCGGGTAGGCGGTCAGTCTCCTTGGTGGGTGTCTGTGTAGTCCTTTGACCTGGGAGCCCCTGTTGGGATCCCTTTAGTGGGTGTAGAGGTGGAGGTCGGTTAGTGTATGGGAACTGCTGAATGATGGTCTGAACCTCTGACCACCTATGTGAGCACAGGTGAAGGCAATTCAGCTGCCCTCCTGGAAGGGGTGGAGCCTGGCTGCACCTCTCTGAGATCCATTGAAGAGCTGACTATGAGTGTGGAAGGATCTCTTGGAGTCTTCCCTGTAAGCCTGGAAAAAGGTAAGCTTTTCTATTATTCTTTGGTGTGGTGGCTTGTTTGGCCTAAGTTTTTTTTTTTTTTGTCTGGGTGTCTTCTAAGCTTTGTGGTTTTGTTTTTGGTTTTTTTTGTCTGGGTGTCTTCTAAGCTTTGTGGTTTTGTTTTTGTTTTTGGTTTTTTTTGTCTGGGTGTCTTCTAAGCTTTGTGGTTTTGTTTTTGGTTTTTTTTGTCTGGGTGTCTTCTAAGCTTTGTGGTTTTGTTTTTGGTTTTTTTTGTCTGGGTGTCTTCTAAGTTTTTGTCTGACAAATCTCTTATTCATGGCTTATATTGTTTGTTAGTATGGGAGTTGGTTGTTAAG